CTGAGCCCAGATGCAAGAAATTAAAACTGAAATATCTCTCTTACCAAACCAAACTTCTCTGCTGAAGCTAAGACTCTTGCCACTTGGAACACAGAAATAATTTGGTAATTTGCTTATCAACCTTTCCAGTTCACCATTAGCCAGTAATATACATTACTCAATGACAATTATTTGACCACTACAAAATAGCTTCCAAATAAAGTACTATTTCATAATTCCTAACTTTCCCTAATCTGTGTTTCTAAAGCTGATAAAAAAATGATATTTTCACTTTACATGACATTTGTAAAGCTGTAAGCTTTATTTATTTTAAGGAAGAAATAGAAGAACTGGGAGCCATAACTAAAAAAGCAAAGTCAATCTGTAGGTGTGTTTTACATCTTCTCAAACCTCTGGCATAAACATGACAAAGCACCTACATTTTCCCTGGTCTGGATGATATAAGCCCACCCTAACCCACATCGTAACCGAAACCACAAACGGTTCACTGACAGCCAAGAGACTCAGAAGTTGAACAGCTTTGCTGAAACCTGGAACTACTTGCATTCTGAGTTTTTCTTCACATCTCTAGAAAGTATTTTCAACAAGATGCTATTAGGGTGGGTGTGGTGGCACACATGCCTGTAATCCCAGCACTTGGGAGGCTGAGGCAGGAGAATGCCCATGAGTTTGAGGCCAGCCTGGGCTACATACTGAGACTCCATCTCAAACAAAACAAAACAAAACAAACAGAAACCCCAAGATGCTATTGTCATGAGCCGCACATTCAGCCAAATCTCCAAGTACACAGAAAGACAACCATAGAGGAAGACACAGGAAGCCAGTGTCCTGATCCAACAGTCTTTTCTCCCTGAAGGAAGTCCACGTGCAGAGTTTGGGGCTGGAAATCTGCTGTAAAGTAGATGGCTAAGAAATGTTAGTTCGCTAATCAAACACAAAATCCAGGACTTGGCCTCAGGCAGTGAAAATTATCTAGTGCCTTTAGTTAAGAGTTATTCCCATAGCATACACAGCTTTTAAAGTACAAGAGACAAACCCAGAGAAATCCCTATCACAGAAGTCTCTCCTTGGTAGGAGGAGAAAAGTAGTCAATATAATAAAATGAAATGTGCCACTATGGTCATGGAAAAGTTAAGGAACAGAATAATTATAGAAGCAAAAACCAAAAATACACTATGACAGTCTCTGAGGGCGTAAACTGCTGTGTGCTGCAACCACATAACCATTAGCGCGTGAACACAGTGATGAAATTTCACTTGACTGTAAAGAGCCGCAGGATGCAAACCAGTACAATGACGGAAATCAGCATGGAGAGTCCCCAGAAAACTAAAAACAGAAATTCCATTAGACCCAGCTATTCCCCACCAAGCTATCTTCTGAAAAGAGTTAAAGACTTTGTATCATATTACAGTGATCCATGTGTACCCATGTTTACAGCAACACAAGTCAGAATGGCTAAATCCTGGAAGCAGCCTCTATTTTCATCAACAGATGAATGGATAAAGAAAATGTGGTATTTATATAAAGTGGAGTACTACTCTGCCATAAAAAAGAATAAACTTGAGTCATATGTAGAAAATAGATGAACCTTAAGACCATAATGTTAAGTGAAATGAATCAGACACACAGGCTTAAATGTAGCGTGGTTTCTCTTCTATGAGAAAGCCAAAGTATAAGTAGATTAAAGAGCGAAATGAAAGACAGATAAGAGGAAGCAGGAAGATGGGTCTTTTGCAAATGGGATGGGGACCGAGAGAGGAGGGAGAGGAGGGGAAAGCGGAAAGAACTGAGCTGGGTGATGCACATGTTCCAGCTCTCCGCAGGGAACATGACCATTAGGTACTGCAAACATGGACTAGCACAACTGGAGGTTAAAAAATAAAGTCACATTGATGGTCACAGAAGTGAAGCCAAGACAATTAGAAAGTCAAGTTTTGGATTTTCTATATGCAAGAGATCAATTTATGAGTCAAGATCACAGAGCCAAGAAGGGCAGAGGAGAAAGAAGCTGAGGCCAGGACGCCAAAGGACCTGCCAACCCCACACACCTGTTTACCTGTTTCTAGCACGGCTGTGCCCTCCTAGCGGGGCCAGAAGCTGGGACCCAGCGCTGGCAGGACAGGCTGGAAGCGGGGAGAAGCGGGAATCATCCTTCCTCAGTCCTGAGGGAGAGGGGTCCCTGGCTGGTGCAGCTGTGGCTGGACGCAGTGAGCAGAGCGGGTGCAGCAGCTCCGCACCCAGCAGGAGGCCGCAGCAGTCTCAGGGGATGTGGCGCTCAGATGCCCACATCTGACTCAGTGACTGCTGGGCCAGTATCTCACAGCTGCTCTGCCACCTCCAGTCACAGAAGGATGAAGGGACGAGGACAGCTCTCACAAGTAGCGTAACGAGGGCATCGCCCCAGCACATCACCTTCCAAGAGATGAACCGGGAGGCACTGTGCAAGGAGAGTGACTCCCTGTGCAGGAACATCCAAAGTGAGACTCAGAGAAAAGAGCACAGGGTCCCTTTGATGAGGAGCAGAGAGAACTCCGACTGCCAGGGGTCAAAAGCCAGAAGCACTTTTCACATGGAATTCACTGCTGCTGCTTGTAACTTTTATAGGTGACCATTACCACATCTAACTGTGATAGACTAGCAGGGCATCTTTCTTGAGCGTAAGCCCTGACAAGGCGTGTTCACTTCATAACTCTTTCTTTGAAAAGCAACCGGGAATGTCTGGCGCTGTTGCATCCATCCCACAAGCTCTCACGGTGCCGTTCTACCCCTTGGGCTGACCTCTGACGCCACATTCGTCCACCTGCTTATATCGAAACAAAGAGGCAGAACTCTGAACTGACCAGACCTACGGACCACCTAGAACTCTGGGAAAATAAAGCACACGGACAAACACAGCCGTCTCTGAATTCATTTTTACGACCTTACTGTCTTCAGTGTCAAGAGTGAAGAACCATCCGGCCGCTGCGTAATTTACGGGAGTCTTATTTTATCAAAACACAAAGAACTTCGGAACCAGGTTTAATTTCGGCAGTACCAATGTGCGAAGTGTCACGGCTCATGATCACAGGCTCTGATAACACAGACACGGCTCCTGCTGCGCTGCTTCCAGGGCAGCTCCCCCGTCCATTTCCTTCACTTTACCAAATTCACACACAGTACTGACTCAGTGCCAAGAACTGTGATCTGTGCAGAATTCTTTTACGTTCTTTTATAACACGACCATTTCAATAATCAACTCATGCCATGCTGCAGTTTCCTCAGACCACTGAGGAATAAGAGACGAAAAAAACAAACACTAGCAGATACTATATTTACCGGTTTGCCTTTTTTTAGAAACAAAATGAAAGTATAAACACACTAAAAGTGTCCTGTGGCTGTTAGGAAAGCTATGTGGAAAGTGAAACACTTGGAAATCTCTTGAATGATAAAACTCTGTAATATCGTTGTAACTCTAAACCTCTGCATAAATTTAAATTCAGAATTGCCCACTGTGTGCCTGTTAGGTACAGAAAACCAGAGCAGCTCCTGCAGTGCTACCTGGGGAGCTTCGCAGTCCAGGAGCCTCCGGAGATCCGGGCAGCTTCCCTTGGACTCCTTTCCGCGCCCTGGCAGGAGGCCTGCACACCCCAAGTTCTGCCTTTAGGAGGGAAGGTGCCCCCGCTGCTGCCCGGGGCTTTCTGCCAGGGCAGCCCTGTCCTGGGCGGGGCCGGAAGCCTGCAGGACCCTGCAGCGCTTCAACATCTGGTTACGGCGAGGACGCGATGTCCACCCCTACAGACTCCCACTTTCCCGTGGGAGGGTGTATTTACAGACAGGGCCGAGGCAAGGATGCGCTCAGTTACTGCAGCCCGGGGTCCCCCAGGTCCCGCTGTGGGCGTCCAGCTGGGCAAACACTCCCGGCGCTTGGACCTGACTGGCCGGAGACCAATTCCCGCCAGGCACCGCCCTCCGCCCTGACCATCTTCCTTGAGCCTCTCCGAACAGACCAAGCGGTGGGGACACAGCATCTTCGCCTCCTGTCGCCTACTGGGAACCAGAGTTACCGCATCTCTAACAAAGGCAAGGGGCCGGGCAGGGCAAAGGGCCTCGCTCAGAGCAGGGAGTAAGCAGTAGCCCCGGTCACCGACCCTGCCCAGCCAGCCAGAAACAACAGCCCGTGTGAGCCACCAGTCATAGCGCAGAATCCTCACCAGCACACGCCAAAGCGAGGGAGCTGAGGGAGCTGAACTTTCCCGCCTCCGTTTACCGGCCAGCCCCGGCCTTAACCACCTGCCTCTGGCCTCTGGAGGGCTTCCCTCTTAGGGACGAAGTGACTCCCCGGCACAGCCTGCCCGGCCTGGTTCCCTCCTCTCACCTCCCAGCCCCCAGCCCGAGAGAGATGCCCTGGATGTTTATTTGATCATTTGCTGTCCGGGGGGGGGGGGGGGGGGCTGAGATAAAATTCTGAGATCCAGGTAAAATCTGGAAACACATTTTCTAGATTTCTCCAGCGTCTGTGATGTAGCTCTGATAGTTTACCATTATAATGTTCATTTTGAAAGTGAGAAAACAGAAACTAGTGTTCTGGTTCGGTAATTATTAAATGAGCCTGATTACTTCCAAAACTTACAAATATTTTCCAGGTCTTCTCTGACTGAACTAGGTGCCCCACTAAGAGCACCGTCAATGCACCCTCTCAAAAAACAATTATAAACAGGCCACTTTACACAACAACTGCTGTGGAGGTTTGAGAAGTGCTCTAAGGTTCCGAGTTTATTTAGTGTAAATATCGTCTAGACTCCTTGTCTTACTCCACTCAGGGCCTGCAGCAAAGAAACAAGTGAGCACAAAGGGAACACGGGAGCCAGAGTCTTGAGGACACCTGGTAAAATGCACACCGGGGTACGTCAACACGGGGGGCTCAGGTGAGCCTGCTCTGTGAAAATGAGCCTGTGTCTGACGTGTGGGGCCCGGGGCCAGACGGACCCCTTCCCGGAACCGGTCCGCGGGCTGATACTCACGTTGGCACTGTCCCCAGGAGCGGCGAGTCCAGCCCCAGCAGCAGTCAATCCGCCCACCATAGCGACAGAGGCCAATCGAGGACACGAGCTGTCCGGGCCACCTACCACACACACAGACAATAGCACACGTAAGAGGCTCGAGCCGGAGAAGAATTTCAGGACCAATCAATCCACATCCAACCATCTCCTACAACTCTCTCGTGGTTATAGAAATGCAGGGCTAAAGACACTCGCAGAAATAGATTTGTTATGATGTAAGACCAAATCTCAGACACCCAGCAGGTATACACACACACACATACACACACACACACTGCAGGGTAGGAAGAAGGCCCCCTGCCAAGTAGAAACAGCAGCGTCCTGCCAGTCGCAGGGCAGCTTCCGAGGCTTGAAACAAGACAGATTCCTCCAGGGCTCACACCTGTTGCTGGGATGGGGGAAAACCAGTTTCGACGGCTTCCTCACACTGAAAAGTAAAAGGCCTGTCAGGGCCCAGGGCGTGCTGGCCTGTGGGGAGGGCAGGAGGGAAGGAACCAGAGAGGAGGCTTCTGAGGACCAAAGGAACCAGAGCTGAGGACACTGCAAAACAGAGGAGAAGGGAAACGGAAGGGAAAGAGAAAACAAGCAACAGAAAAGGAGACCTAATGAGACCGGGGAGTAGGGCGCAGCAGACGCTCCGTGCGGCTGAGGTCGGCACCGGGCGCGTTAGCAGGCTCGGGTTGGCTCGCACGGGGCGAAGGGCGCGGTGTTCATCGCCTTTAACGCCTTTCAGCACTTTCACGCGAAGACCATACCTGCGTGTGAGCGCGTGTGCAAGAAACGCAGGCCCGGCTCAGGCGGAGGAAGAACCAACCGCCCGGCCCCTCGGAGGCGGCTCTGGCCGCGCCCCGCGCGCTCCACCTGCGTCTCCGCCCGGCCGGGCCCACGCGGGGCACAGCTCGCCGCGCCCCGCCGCCCGCCCGGCCCGGCCTCCCAAGCCCCCAGCGCCCTCTCACCTCCCGTCGAAGTCGGCGGCCGCCCGCAGGGACAAGGAGACCGCGAGCGCGAGCGCAGGCAGCAGCAGCAGCGGCGGCGGCGGCATGGTGCGGGCAGCTCTGGCCCCGGCTCAGCTCGCTGGGCTCCGCGGCCCGCCGGGGACGGGGCGGGCGGCAC